CTCAAGTCATAATGGACTACCTCAATAGCGCTTCTTGTCCTTTTTGGAGCTTGAAATTGTCCATCTCATCCATTTTCATTTCAAAAAGCAGCATAAGCATTTAGATATTCTTTAGTGTTTCATTAAAAAAAATCGAACAAGTTTGGAACACCATGAGAGTGAATACATTTTTCATTGTTGGGTCAATCTCTCTAATAAACTGCAAGGTTCCCTGCCTACCAAAAACAATATAACAAGAATCCTGTCTGGGAATATGGTAGGTAAAACTAAGAGGAGAAATCCACACACATGATTATTAATGATTTGTAGTGACTGAGCTACGGAGCAGCATCGATACGACAAACTCTACCTGCTTAAAAGTTAAATATTGAAATGTCAAAATGAGCATGTGACATCAGTATTATTGTTTTTTTTTTTTACCTAGCTATGACTCATCTAAGACCTCAGGCTGTGGCATACACACAGGTCTTTATGCTGTAACAAGGAGTACTCGTTGTGTGTTCGTACAGTGCTTTAAATATTCCTGCAGCTCAGGTGCGTCTACATTAAGCAGCCTTTTCGTTCTCATTTCATGGAACTGCATCTCGTTTGTCTACTTTCAGAAACCTTTCATCTACTTTCAACATAATTTAAATCTTTCTTCTGTTCTGAACATGTCCATCATTACAAAAACTAGTTCAATGGTTCATATATACAGTTCAATTGTAGTGTTTAACTTACTTATTTAGTTGAAATGTTCAATAGAAACTACTCAAAGCAAGAGATAACAAGCTAACTCTCTAAACAAACCCAAAATGTGAATGTAAAAATAATGCAGCTAGAATTTTTTGTTCTTTTTTTCCATTTTTCATTCATTTCTGCCTTTTTTTCTTTTGTAATTTTGTAATACATTCAACTTGGCACAGTGAAGGACGTGGAGAGCAGGATGTGAGCAGAAACCTACTGTGCAAGAGTGAAGAGATACACGCTAATTACACACGTGTCCACTGGTGCTTTTTTTTTTTTTTAGTTTTCTTTATATTTTAAAGGGAAGATATGAGAGATAAGAATGGAGGAACAACTGTACAGCCCAGACGGGGATAGTATTTCATGTTTCATACACATATATATACTTATATTCATTTTCATATGTATAGTATTGAACCCTCCCGTGCTGTGGAATGCCTGTTCAGCTTTTTGGGGTGATATCAGCTTCAGCTGGGGCTACTGGGGTTAAATTCAGCATTCAACAGCTGGAAAGAGTGAGCAATAAAGACACAGAGGGTGAAAAAGGAGAAAGAAAAAATGAAATTATATTCGCAACCCATTTTACCTCCACAATGTGACATAGTTATGAGAATTTTGCAGCATCTACTCACTTATTTTACTGTTTGACTCCGCCTCCACCACGGATGCCCGCTGATTGGTTATTCTGGAAGAGCCCCGCCCCTAAGCGGTTGACATTGGGGTGGGTGGGAGAGGCGACAGGGGGCTGACCTGGTCTGATTGGCTTGGCTGTGAAAGGAGGACATATGACTAGTTAGTTAAGCCAAAAAACAAACTTTGTTTACTAACTTGGTCTACTAAATCTATCAATCAAAAATCACTCCTAAAAGACTGAAGGCTGGAATACACTATAAGACTTGTGCACAGGGTTTCAGCCTAATTTGCAGTCTGGACAAGTCAATGCTAGTCTGCAGGGTTTTGGGCAGTCAGAGTTGACAGTTTTTCATAAAAAAATCACCTGGTTTATGATAGGCACAGACTCAAATTTTTTATCGTTAAACTATGATTCCATCCAGTTGGAGGATATCAAACATGTTTGATAATTTGAGCCCATTATAGAACAAATGTTGTTGTCATTTGCCATGCATCTCCTAGCAGTGAGACTCATGTTTCTGTGTGAGATCATTGCAAGTGTATGAGGCCTAAAAGTTGTTTTTAAAAGTTGACAACAAACCAAAAAGCTTCAAAGCTGCCCATTAATTGTGTTGAATTCAAAATAAATCATGAGATGAACCATGATTAATCATTTTAATCTACTAATATCCCTACAAATGTGAGCAAGCAACACCTCTTGGTAGCAATCAACAACTTTCACTGTTCCTCTGTTTTAGTATGACCCTACCCAAGTCGAAATGTCAAAAGACACGCGTCTTCCATAAGCACTTGGCTGAATCTAGTAACTGCACTCTTTTAAAGTGTGTGTGTGTGCTAACCGATCTGTGCGGAGTGTCCTCTGCGGGCCATGTTCTTGGCTCTGACGGCCTCTTTGATGCGGTCCACCTCCTGTTGGTAGCGTTTGCGGTCACGGGCTGTGTTCTCTTTGGCCTCTTTGAGTGCAGACTCCAGAGCCTTCACACGCTCCGCCGTGGCCCGCAGGCGCTTCTCCAGCTTGGGCAGCTCACAGCGCAGGTCAGCGTTATCACGCACCAACTAGACAAAGGAAAGAAAGACTTCAGTAAGCATGTGTTTTGAGAGAATGCCTGTGGTGTCCGATGTTTTAAGTGTGTGTTTACCTGCTTGTGCACTTTAGTGAGCTGCTCAAGGTTGTTCTCAAGGAATGAGATCTTCTGTTTTTGTGCCGCACTGCCGCCAGTGTCATCTGAGTCCATCTCAGCGCTCTGAAAAATATGTTAATGCATAATTCAGGCATGTCCGAGAGTGGTCGATAAAGTCATAACAGGGGTTTTATGACATCTATTAGCTTTGAAGACTAAAGGCTACTAGCCATAAAGAAAAATAAAATAAAATAGTAAAATAAGAAATAAAATAATTAAAAAGTCATTATAATTTCAAGAAATATCCACATTGAAACTATTTAATTATCTGGAGCAACTTTCTAACTACAAATTTCAGTTAAAGGAGAATGTGTTTACAACTGCGATACCTTCTTCACCCGTGTGGCCAGATCCTGAACAAAGAGTTTCCTCAGGTTATGAAGAGTCTGCAGCTCTTTGGCCTGAAGAGAAGAGAGCGATCAGAGCGTGCACGCATAAATGTGAAACACCTCTCATGTACAGAACAAAATGACCTACCACTGTCTCCTCCAGGCCTTTGAGATCCTGTCTGGCCTGTTCCCTTCTGTCCTGCATCACCCTGTAAACATATTTCATCATTAAGACACCAGACCAAACTTTTCTTGCATGTTATTCAGATCTCTGCATGTTTGTTGCATGTCGTACGTCAGCTCGTGCAGTTTGCGGCTCTTCTCCTGGTCAGTGTTTTTGAGTTTCTCGTGCTCCACCTTCAAGCGCTCCTGCTCCAACATGATCTTCTGGTTCTGACTGCAGACAGAAAACAAAGTGAGAAAAAATGAGCCCATGTGGATTAATTCAGTGCCTGAAGATGTGTATGTGTATGTCTTACTCCTGCAGTTCAGTGATGAGTTTCTCCTTGATCTCCAGCTCGTCTCTCAGGCTGCTCAGCTGTTTCTGATGAGCTTCTCTGTGGTTCTGGATCTGCTGCTCAACTGCAACCTGTACAATCAAACATTCAGAGAAACTATGAATTACAATCTCTCTATTAAAATAAACAAAACTTCTATCAAAAGCCCCCCTTCTGAATCTAATTCAAGTGCAGAAAATATAATAGGTACATAAAGAGTATAATGAGCAAAACTCACTAAAATGCCCGGAAAAATCATTGTTATGCAATTGAAATGTATAAAATGCTTACCTTGACTTCATTAGCACTCTGTATCTCATTCTCCTTCTCCATGACATGAACTTTTTCTGCACAAGGAAAAATAAACTCCATCACAACTTATTTCACGCCCAATACAGTCTCACCACAAGAGGGCAGTAAAAGTTGGTCAGTCTGGGCCACACAGTTTTTGTATGGGCATTAAAATGCATTTATGAGAGGACAGAAAAGCATGTGTATTTGTACCCTGTGCACTGAGTTTGACTAGTTCCTCATTGAGAGAGTCGACGTTCTCCTCTAGCTGTCTCTTCTTCTGTTCAATGTTTTGCAGATACTCTGTCAGGGACTTGATCTTTGCCTCATACTGTATACAAACACAGACAAATAAATCTCAATATCTTTTTAAAGTTTCCTGTAAATGCCATGCTAGTATTGTAATGGAGAGCATGTGGTGTTTCCATTTAGCTGAAGTCATACAATAATTATCTAATAAAACATAAGACTGGTTCTACCAAAAGAGCTTTGTAAATGCTCTTTTATGTTCAGTAAAAGAAACTAAAACAAGTTTAAAAAGCTATACGTGTGAGTAAATGATGGCAGTTTTCATTTCTGGATGAACTACCTTAATAAGAGAGAATAGTTGTTGTTTTATCATGTCGTTTTTGCATTTACCTGAGAGATACGGAGCTGACAGGCTGCGAGCTCTTTCTCGTTCTCATCCATCTTCTTGTTGCTCTCGGCCTGAGCACTTTCCAGCTGTTTGCTGCGCTTCACCAGAGTTTTCACCTCCGACTTCATCTTACTGATGTACAGACGAGCGACTGTGAACTCTTCATCAATGAGACCTCCACCCTCATGCTGCTGAGACAAAACACAGACAGAGAGAAAGAAAGAGAAATAGCTGAGGTTAGAGAGAAGGGTGAGCAGTTAAAACAGTGCAAAGGAAGTGGAAAATAAAAAGCAAGGACAAAAAGAAAACACACACACATATATATATATATATATAAATATAATGCAACAAATTTTGCCCTTTTACCTTAATGTCATTGCTGCCTATGGCGATGCCAATCTCTGCCAGGTCTTTAAGCAGTGATGACATCATCTCAGTGACTCTCTTCTTCTGATGGTTAGTCATTTCCTTCAGTTTCTGCAGCTCAGAGTCGATAGATGCAAGAACGCTCTGCAACAACAGACAGCTCAGATCAGCAACCAGTACCAAGACATAACTTCAAATTACTTGCACTGAAAAAAATAATAATAATCGTGAATCGAATCGTGAAATCAAAATCGTGAATCGAATCGTGAGTTGAGTGAATCGTTACATCCCTACTGATATAGTTTTATTTTAAATATAATAATTGCTTTATCTTTTGTATATATCAGTTATACAACATTATTAATACTCAGTTGTTATTATTATTGTTATTATTATTAACATCAGATTTTCTGGGTCTTCTGAAGAGTTGAATCTAATTTGCTGTCTAGACAAAAAGAGAGTAGAACATTTTCAAGCAAAAGTAAATTATAACTTTTCGGTGAAAGAAACCATCACATATGATAAAACAATAGTGAAGAAAACTGTGTTTTTAATGAAGAGTTTCTCCTCACAGATTTCTGGTTGAGCTCTTCACTCAGGGATTCAAACTCCTTGGTCTTGTCCTCCACCTCCTGACTCTTCTGATCATAGTTGACGGCGAGCTCCTCCAGGGCCTGCAGCACCTCCTTCACCTCCTCTTTAGACGCCTCATTCTCCATCTGCAGACGGGTGAGCTCCGCCTGCAGGTTGTCATGGTCCCTTCGCGTTGAGGCCAGCAGCTACAATTCAAAGATTTTTTTTTTTTCATTGTGGCAATACTGTTATTACAGTAATTATTACTATTAGTGTCAAATTACTGAGGAGAGAGAAGAGGGGATTGTGATGGGATCTCAACTCAACAGGTAAGGAGCATGTGCACTAGGCCAGAACACTATTTATTATTTATAGCTTTTAAAGCGCAAACCCCAACTCCCAAGTTTTTAGTCTCCAAATGATTCACAGACAACTAGGAGACAGGAAATTGCTCTTATTTATGGGAAATAATGTAAATCTGATGTGCATGTTCAGCTCTCACCTCTTCCTGATCCAACATCTGCTGCTTGAGTTTCTCAGCCAGCTGAGACTGCTGATTTATCTCATCATCCTACAGGCAGACAGCAGAGAGAGAGAGAATCACAGAATGAATGTAATGAATGAGTCTTGAAGCACATCTTAACTATTTTACAACAGAACTTTGTTTTTTACATTATTATTAATAAAGAGAGTCTAAGAGAGCTGGGTGGTTGATGGCCGATATTATGCAGTTTGGGGTCAGTATGATTATTTTTTTTAAAGTCTCTTATATTCCCCAAGTCTGCATTTATTTGATCAAAAATACAGTAATGTTAATAGCATAAATGTAAATACTATTCAAAATATACAAATAACTGCTTTCTATTTGAATACATTTTAAAATATAATTTATTCCTTTAATTGCAAAGCTGAATTTTCAGCATCATTACTCCAGTCTTTAGTGTCACATGATCCTTCAGAAATTATTCTAATATGCTGATTTGCTGTTCAAGAAACATTTCTTCTTATTATTCTTATTCTTATTATCAATGCTAAAAACAGTCATGCTGCTTAATATTTTTGTGGAAACTGTGATATATTTTTTCGTCAGGATTCTTTGATGAATAGAAAGATCAAAAGGACAGCATTTATTAGAAATAAGAAATGTTATAACATTATAAATGTCTTTACTGTCACATATGATCAATTTAAGACATTCTTGCTGAATAAATGTTAAAACATTTTTTGAATGGTACTGTATACTAGAGGTGTGCACAAAGTCAAATATTCGATCTGGAATTATCATTTGAAAAATAAAAACACTATTCGAATTTTACTATGTGTTGATTTGCTGGCCGTAAATGCAGGGAATCCATGATAAATCCTAAGCATGTAAAGTAAAAGTCAGTAATAATTAAATGCACTGGGTGGCGCTGTGTAACATGTTGATGGTATTTGATCACAGAATGTTGAATATTCATTTCTTATGAGCCCAAATATTCGATTACAATGTTTTTGAAAAATGCCCATCCCTACTGTATATTTCTTCATAATAATTTAACCGGAGCAAATGATATGGGGGGGAAATGCTGAAATGAGACTCTTATTTCAGACAATATATGAAGATACTACTGGTCTTGAAGACACAAGCTTTAGTTAATCGACCACAACAGAACACAATTATTGGCAATTACATTCCAAATGCAAATGTCCAAAATCTTCATTTAAGGTCAGTAGTTCATCTCACCTTGTCATCCAGCTGTTTGTAGAGTTTGGCCAATTCAGCCTCACACTTCTCACGCTCAGCATCAGTCAATTTAAGGCCGGGCACGCTGGGAGACGAGGTGAATTTATCATTATTCATCACATTATCCAGGGCCAGAACATCTGCATTTGCCTTCTCCTTATCGTACTGCTCCTCAATTGGGACGCTCTCACCTAAGAACACACAAAACAGTTGTGTGTAATTTTCAGTGAATGCAGCTGAATGAGTATGAAGCGCGTGTCATTACAGTACCGTTCCTCCAGCGGTTGAGCTCGTTCTCCAGCCAGGTGATGGTGTTCTTTAGCGTCTTGTTCTTCTCTTTCTCCTTCTCATATTTCTTCTTCCACTGCTCAGCTGTCAGCTCCACGTTCACACACACTGTGTTCTTGATGGTCTTTGCTCTGAGAACAGTGAAAACCAGAAAAAATTACTTGTCACTCAAAACGAAAGTTTAATTAAAACTCTCAGTCTGTTTATATCTCATCACCTCTGTCCGAACATGAGCGTAGTTTTGGTCTCGGCCTCGTTAAAGGAAGATGGAGAGCAGCAGATCACTATAGTTGTCCTGCAGTTTCCACCCAGAGAATCCTGCAAGATCCTCGTCATCTTACTGTCTCTGTAGGGAACGTACGTCTGACAGGGGAAAGAAATATTAAATCATTATCTTTCTATCCATTTAATCAGCTGATCATATATAACACAGCCCTGCATCTTGAAAAATAAATTATGCTGATTTACAAAAAAGACCCAATATTACCTAATAAAAATTAGAGTCACAGAGTCAAATAAAAATAAGTACAAATTGCCATTACAGTTTTTTGTTTTTTTCAAAAAATAAGATTTTTTCAAATTATATACATGCATCAGATTTTAACGCACTTGTCAAAATAAAAGCAGACAAATCTCAAAAGTTTAAATGCGTCATTGAAATTATGATCTGCAAAGGAGTGGAAAAATATGTTTAATGTCAAAGAACTACATATACACAAACACCCACAGATGCCGCAGGAAACATTTGGGTCATGTTTGCATTTTCTTCTGTCAATGGCCATAACTCTAACCTTGAAATCAGGATTAGACATGTTATAATGCCTCCAGATTCATTCATATATGTGAAAATGGCAGGGAATTGAACAAATAATTGTAACCTAGCTCAGAGGAAGATGGGAATCATGTCTTCGTGTCAGTTTTTAAGATGACTTCACCTTACAATTGGTTGTGGAAAGCAAAAATGCTACGAAATGTAAATCATAATTTGTAAGAAAGTGCGCTTGAGCAAAACAGGGACTATCATTTGAATCAGCACCCCAAAACTACTAAGAAACAAGTATTGGATTTCATTCAGCAAATAAGATGCAGGGTGGTGAATTGTACAGCTCGAGTGCATCACACCTACCGTTCCTTCAGCTAGAGCAGAGATGACGTTGCCCAGAGCGGAAAGAGATTTGTTAATGTTTTTGGCTTCATCCAATAAAGCACCCTCTGCTCCGGTTTTACTGACCTGCCACAAAATAAAACTAACATTAATAAGGAACTAATCAAATCACATACACTATTATGGGTCCTGAAGTGAAACCAGCTGAGAATAATTGAAAATGTCTGTAAATGGGTTTAAAAAAGAAAGAGAGAGAACAAGTGAAAGAGGGAAAGAGGAAGTGAAAAGAGAGAAGTAGAATGATAACCTTCTCGCTTCCTGCTAAATCCACCAGGAAGAGTTTGCCACTCAGTTTCTGCTCCGTCTGTGTGTTCTCTTGCTTGACGTTTATCAGGAAGATACTGTGACTCCTGGAGCTGTGCTCGTTCATGTCTGACACACACCACAGAGAAAACACAAGTTTCCATTTCCACTCAACTTTAACTACAAGCACACAACAGGACACTCTTTTGGTTGTTTAAACATCTCAATAAATCAAATAAGAAAGAACATCCTAACACTACTCTCGCACAACTCAGACAGCAACAGGTGTGGAAAGCTTCAGCCTGTTAAAAACAGCTGTGCAGTGTGTCTGACTGATTTGCATGGGCTTACTTGTGACAGCCACGTGTCTGTTGGATTTGCCTTCATCAATGGTGTCCATCACTTCGTCTGGGCTACACACAAACCGTTCAGTACAACCCTGCAGATGGAGAAAGAGATAGACAGGGAAAACATTTGAACCACTCCTTTACTAATACATGCATAGCTAATTACTAAAACACAGCCTCACCTTTACATAAGGGACTCTGTTCTTGTCTTCATGTACAGACAGATTGGTCTTAGATACTGAAAGAAAAATTATTTATCATCATTATTTTTTAGACGACAGATCACACTCAGATTAAACAATCTCTAATATAAAAAACAATGCAAAAACAATAGAATCTGTATCATATTCAGTCATACGTACCATCCAGCAAATCCCTGATCTTGTCCAGGTAAATCTCAAAATAGGAGACCTGTCAATGCAGAAGAGCTCTGTGAATTTCATTACCAGCTGTCTGAAATTAATACACTGCTATGCAAAAGTATGGGGTCAGGAAGATTTTTTTAATGTTTTTTGAAAAATGATTACCAAGAAAGTCTTACCAAGGCTGCATTTATTTTAATATTGTGAAATATTATAATTTTATATGTATATATATATATATGTATAATTGTTCAAACATTACGAATGTTGTGTACACAAATTCATATTAAAATGTAAAATTAAGTGATTTTAGTGTTTTTTCATCTAGATTAATTGGCCGTAGCCTTAAAAATATGTATTTTTCAATGCGTGAGAACATGATGTATGGCATAAAAGTGCCATGGTTTGTCAGATGTAGCAACAGTAACTAAGGGGGGGCAGGTCTTTGCGATAGGTCAATTTATAGTAGGGGGAGGTTGCTGGCTCAGGTTCTGAGATAACAACATGAACATCTTTCTTATAGTAGAAAATGACATCTGGACTTTGTGCTAGAGTGCAGGGTCAGAATTAACATGCTGCCTATGGTGAGCGTTTATTTTACTTTGCTTGGCAGTGGAATCTGGCAGAATAGATTTAAATAGTTATTAATAAATAAATAATAAATTACTAATAAATGCATAATTGCTAAACTAAAATTACATGCTCTGAATTATTTATTTTTTTTGCATTTTTTCTCATATTGTACAAAGATTAAACATAAACCGTCTGA